GCAGGGGGGAGGAAGAGTAACGGAAGTTGAAGACGAAGGGAAGAGAGAAGGTGCGAGACTATTGTGCTCCCCTTCCGCCCCTTTTTAGAGGATGAAGTAGGGGCTCAGCCGCCCCGCCCAGCCAATCGGAAAGCGAGAAGGGTAGAGGAGCGGGGCCGACCCACCATCTTCGCCCGTGACGGCTCGGTCTCCCACCTTCGCCGCCCACGACCCCCCATGCATGAGGGCCGCGTGGCGAAAAAGCAGGGCCGGAACGACGGGTGAAAAGACCCCGCCCTGCCCCACGATCACGGGTGTGGATGCCTTAAAGGGCGCATGCGCCACCCACGTCTCCCACGACGCTGCAATCGACGCATGCCGTTGCGGGAGAGCGCGGTGGGCGCGGAGCCCGTTGCTGTGCGCGCCCAGGCCACGCGTGCCCGTGCACTGTTTTGGGCCTGGCCCAACAACGCTCGGCACCGTGTATGGCCCAGGCCCGGGGGCTCCTGTCGGTGTACTAAAGTAGGGGGGTACCTTAGTACCCCGAACTTGTGCACGGGCAGTCGTAGCGCCCCACGGCAGGGCTTGCCGGGCGCCCGGCAAGGCCCCCTCCGCCACTCCTTATTGCCACCATTCAAGAACAAAGTGCTAGCCAGGAACACGAAGGCCCCGGCAAGAGAAGCTTTCCGGGAAGACTAACCAGGACATCACCAGAAAACTTGCCGCGGCGCCCCGCGCGCCCCGGCAAGGCCCAGTGGCCGGCAAGCTTGCCGGCACAACAAAAGGACCGCGGCAAGGCACTTGCCGCGGCAAGGCTGCCACCCGTCTCCAGCGCACTCAGTGACGCGTCATCACCAGGCCATCCCAAGGGCACGTGGCGAGACACTACACAACCATGCGGAGCGAGGTGGCAAACGGAGCTGACAGAAGCGCCATCGTGGCAACTGGAGGCTCACTTAACGGTCACTCCTTCTGCACTATTGGGCGACCGGACGGGCTTTTAATGCCCTTGTCCCCTGCCGTCAGAGTTAGGTAGGGACACTGTTGTGCACTGTTGCACCAACCTGCGCTTTTACATTTCTACCCCCTCTTCCTACGCTGCCACCTGTGGGTACCCCCTTCGAACTATAAAAGGGAGGCCCATGCGCACGTAGAAGGGGTTCGGTCCATTGGACACACAGCACTACCTTACGCTCGCACGCTCGAGCTAGATCAAATAACAACACAGAGCAGCGGTGGGGGTGTTATCTCTCCGGAGAGCCCCGAAGCTGGGTAAAGATCGCCCGTCTCCCCGCGCGCGCTCGACCTCGATCTGCTCTGCGCACGGCCCCGCTCCCCCGCTGAACCAGAAGGGGCCCCCGAGTGCCCCATAGGTGTTCGAGGCCACGGATACGCGTTCCAGCCCCGACAAATGTCGAAGACAATATGCGCACTGGACTCGTCATCATTGAAGCCTGGTGCGCGATATCGCTGGACAAGTATCCGCCGGTCCGCGATATCCTGTTCCCCGAGCCCGTCACTACAGAGCCGGGCTCCCGCCCGACCACCTCGTCGGCATCGAAGGGGAATGGATAAGGGTGACGCCCTGCCTCCCCGGCCCCCATGGCCTCACTCCTCCTCGACGCCCCCTCCCAGATCCACTTCTCCTCCTAGCTCGCTCGATCCCGGTGATCTGGATGAAGTCAGATGCCACCGCCACTGAGGGAGTCCTGGACTAGGGGGTGTCCTGATAGCCGAACTATCATCATTGGCCGGACTCCAAGACTATGAAGATACAAGATTGAAGACTTCGTCCCATGTCCGGATGGGACTTTCCTTGGCGTAGAAGGAAAGCTTGGCGATACGAATATGTAGATCTCCTACCGTTGTAACCGACTCTGTGTAACCCTAGCCCTCTCTGGTGTCTATATAAACCGGAGGGTTTTAGTCCATAGGACAGATAACAATCATACCATAGGCTAGCTTCTAGGGTTTAGCCTCCTGGATCTCGTGGTAGATCTACTCTTGTACTACCCATATCATCAATATCAATCAAGCAGGAGTAGGGTTTTACCTCCATCAAGAGGGCCCGAACCTGGGTAAAAACATCGTGTCCCTTGTCTCCTGTTACCATCCGCCTAGACGCACAGTTTGGGACCCCCTACCCGAGATCCGCCAGATTTGACACCGACAGCCACCATGACCGACCCCGTTCACACGGCCACTGCCCTCCCTGCTGGCTAGGAGTTTGTCGAGGAGCTCCGAATGCCTCCGCTACTTCGTCTACGCCAACGAGATCAAGTCTAGCACCCCCAGATCGACGTCGTTGCCATCTTCCTCAACCTTCGGCCACCGCAACATTGTCGTTCGATCCGCGCCGCCCCGAGCTACCCTGTCTTCCCCTAGGGTGCCATTGACACTGCCGTGATCTCCTCTTGCCTTTCCCCAGTTTCCCCTCTCGTTTGCTCTCGTTAGGTATTTCGCCGTGGCCGAGAACCGCCGTCCGCCATCGCCATTGCAGGGGTAGCCATTGAGCTCCTCGGATTGACCCCGTGGCACATGCCCGCTCCTATGCGCGCCCATGCCCGAGCCTTCAGCTCTTCTTCCGCGCCCGCGCGGCCACTCCCTCTCTGGTTCTCCATGCCCACGCACGTGCCACACCGCATCCATCGTGCCCGCCGTTGCCATCACGCTCGCCACAGCCACCGCACCACTGTGCCCCGCGCGATGCACACCCTGGCCGCGCGTCACACTCTCGCTGGCTACACTCGCCCCGTCTTCTACCGCCTATCCCTTCGCTCGCCCCGCTATCGCGGCCCTGCCTCGCGTCGCCTCCTGTCGCGGCCATCTTCTGCCAGCCGCCCCCTCAGCCATGCCGGCCGCATTTCTGCCCTCCACCGTCTGCCGCTCGCCTCGCCTGTTGTGTGCTTCTTCCTGCTGCTATGCGCTGCTCTACCACTGGTACATTGTTGCGCCATGCCCTCGACACCGTCGTGGACAAACGTGGCGGAGGGATTGTCAATGGAGTACGAAGAGGAGGTGGTGGAGAAGGTGTGGAGAGGCAAGGGGTCTAGGGTGGCGTCAGCTGGCTGTGGTGGAGGTGATTATGCGAGAAGGAGCCGGAGCGGAAGAAGAGGTCACAATTGGAAAGAATCGCAAAAAAATCATAACCCGGAGATGTCATTCCAAAAAATGCTAATGTCGATGGAGGGGTAATTTCCTTCAATAGGTGAAAAACATAGGAAATATTGGATGTTATCAAGGAAAGGTAAAAATTTAGAAAAGTTAGGATTTTGAACTGATGTTTATGTAAATGGGGTTTTATTGTTTGGTAACATGATATCAGTACCTGCCCGTTTGTGACGTGTCTGATTAGAAAAGTTTGCAAATGTTAAGAAACTATTTATTGGGAGGAAAGTCTGTGACGTGTCTAATATTTGTTTTCTAAAACAAATTTCACTAATGAGAGAAATCGATTGATTTAGATAAGTTATGAAAGTTTGATTCAAATCTATTATTGTTTCTTAAAAAATTGTTATTTGTTTCGTAAGACAAATTGAACCAATAAAAGGAATCGATTGATATGAATAATTTAAGGAAGTTAGATCCGTGATTTGTTATATGTTAGGAAAGTTCTGGTTGTAATAAAGAGTGGAGAGAAAAATAAATCGATGAACCAGGATGGGAGGGGGTGGTGGGAGGAGAGACGAAAAAAATCAACGAAAATAAACCGTGGAGACTATTCACCAACTGCTCCATTAGGAGTAGAGATACAACCTTCTCACGCGAGGGACGAGTACAGGAACAACACTAAACAAAAGAAAAAATAATATCAATCTTGTTGTCTAAATCATGTGATTGGAAAGTTAGATGTGAGATGAATATTTTAGCAAATCTGTACAAAATGTTGATGGGTCTGACTTTGCATCATATATCGCCAGTCACTACACCACGACACTGCATCCCCAACAACCAAATTGGTTGGGAATATAGGTTCCGCCAACAGACAGTCAGTCGGGAAAGACTATTGCCGACCGACCTTGTCTGTTGGGGAAAGCCCAGACGGGAAAACCCTTTCCTGACCGACATAGTTTTCCCGACCGACTTCTTGTTGGTGATGGGGTATCTTTCCCGACCAACATTCTGTTGGGCCTTCCCTAGGCCTTTCCCGACCAACAGTTTGTTGGGGCTACAATGGGCCTTTCCGGACCGACTATCGGACAGGGATTTCTTTCCCAACCAACAATATGTTGGGATGCCATGGGCCTTTCCCAACCGACTATCTGACAGCGTATTTTTTCCCGACCAACATTATGTTGGGCCTGGCATTAGCCTTTCTGATCAATTGTTAGACATTTTTTTTTCTACCAGCCATCATCGAATAGCCCTCCTGTAGGTGGACTTTGAATTACCAACAAAATATACATCAAGTTACAGTGCATGTCATCCAAAAATATTGAACCAGATGCAAACAATAACAACATACATTTCATTAATTTTCACATATAAATACATCATCTGTTAGTAACTAATGTCCATCCAAGTTTCCTATAAACTAATGAAACTAATTAAGTAGAGGAAACATTATTGTTCATTGCCTAAGAGCAAAAATTCCTCACATTATTTTCTAGAATTTGTCTTAAGAGGCACATCATCTGCCTTGGCTCCTTGTAGTGGGCAACTAAATACACATCCTCACAGCCTTCAACCAAGATCCTTGTGTCCTTCTAGTACTTGACATCAAAGCCTTCCTTCTAAATCTCATTGGAGAACATCCTCCAGTCTGAAAATCTGCAAGTCAAAATCCCCGGTTAATATTTCCGCACGATAACTGGACAATGTGATATTTTCTTGAAGCTGCCTTCAGTATCATTTCATACCAAAGCAACTAAAGAGAATTCATTATCACTTATGGGAAAATGGGTACCTTTAGCTCCCCTCTTTTGTGTTTCCTGTAACTTCTTTTGCTATAGCCTAGGATACTTGAAAGGAGTAACAAATCTAGCAGAGAAAGCATTTGCTAAATGAAAGGATAATTCTCTTCAGGACATGGGGGATAACGCTCTTGAGGCCATTCCTGCATAAATGAAAGGACTAAGAAATTAGATGATTAATAAAAGGTAGCAGCGAAAGCATTTCCTAAGCAACGAAATTACCCATGGGGATAGGTGGAGCCTTCAATATTTCCAAATCAGTGACATGCTCAAAGTCCTCTGTTGTAGGCAAGTCACTTGCTATCACAAACAACAATTTAATATCTCCTTCAAGCGTTACTTCACCAACAAACCGAGGCTCCAAATCCTGGTAAAAGCCATGGTATGATTAGTAATGTGAAAAATACTCTGAAACAAGAAAAAAACGGTTCCGTAATCAGAGGACGAAAATTACTTTCACAGGCCATCATAAGACACCACAAAAAAAAATTAGCCTGACAAAATCAGTTCACCTTGACACTGTTAGAAAATGCAGCAGAAAGAAATTCTTATACAAGACTCACCTCTTGAATGCAAAGAAAGTGACATATTTGAATGTAACTTTGAAGCCAAGATCTGTTTTTGACATTTGTCCACCATGCTACTACATTTTTCCAAATCATTCACTGAAAAACAACAGAAAACAAAACTTTATGTCAAGCCTGCTACCAAAAGAAAAAACATGTGTAACCAGTTCATGAAAGTACTTTTTAGAAAATTACAAAGCAATAATGAGGCTTAATTAACTGCTGCACATAATGAATTTTACTGCTTCAAGGGCTTCTCTATTTCCATGAAGCAAAGCAGCATAGATTCTTTTTAAGATATTATTAAAATTACGGCCTAGTTCAAATCTGCACACTGCAGCACATAGAGAGAGGGGGGAGGGGAGGGAGAAGCCAAGTGAGAGAGTGAGATCTTACCGATGTCGTTGCCGCCATGGATGATAGGCACCTGGTCACTGAAAGTTAGTTGGGGGGAGATGAATGTCAAACAACTAAATTTTAATAAGAAACAACCAAAAGAAGTATATCGCTATATAGCTCTGTACATTGACTAGTAACAATCAATGCTGGTATATCTTCTCTTCTTACTTGGTGATGGTATACACAATATTTTGGTTATTCTCTTCATCTAAAGATTGTCTCAGATAATGTATATAGTTCATAGCTTAGATGGTTCAACAGAATTTTGAAACTGATTCATGAAAATACTTTTTAGAAACTCAAACCAATAATGATGCAAGTCAACATAAAAGAACTTTACTGCTTCAACAAGAGGGCTAGAAATGAAAGGTAGGCCAGAGTTCTCACAAGAGGATGTCTATGGCACGGTAGATGCCAGCCAAACCTAAACTAACAAGCAACCCTTCACAACAATGAATTACGACAATCTTTCTTATTCTGCATCTCTGGTTCCTTCACTTCAGGTTCTATCTTCTCCTCCCCAGCTTCTTGAAAGTCTTTCCAGGGACGAGCTCTACAACGTCATCGTCATCATCCTGGGAAGCACCAATGCTGGCGCCAGCCTCAGCACAAAATACTCCCTCCATCCGGAAATACTTGTCAGAGAAATGGATGTATCTAGACGTACTTTAGTTCTAGATACATCCATTTTTCTTACAAGTACTTCCGGACGGAGGAAGTACATTTCTAACACCAATTACATATAAAGTCAGTCTAATCATGCCATTTTCCCAAAGTACCATCATAGTTAACATGCATAGTGCATGGCTAAGTTCTGTCCTCCAAGTTATAGCATGTGAATTACTTATGAAAATCCACTAAGCAAATTAATTATGACAACCTAGATAAACAAAATTTGTCATCCATGCTTTATTACTCTGTAAAATATTGAACAGAAGGTGTACAATAACTAGAACCTAGGGGTCCTTAATATAAATATAAAATATATTATATGTTTATATAAATGTTTGCAATAAACAAAGTACATAAAAAATCTATGAATATGTCGGCGAAGGGTGAACACCTAGCTCAATATATGGATTGAACATACTGGTGGTTAAATTTTGACCGGTGTGTAAAACAGAGCAATAATAGATTCCTCTACAACAAGACGTAAATCCAACAGTTTGTTTGCTTGCTGTTACCGCAACATCAGGTCAATATTAGGTCTATGTGCACAATAATTTCAGGTTTCTATAATTTGACCTAATTATGTAGTGACATTTGTATGACTGCCAACAAACATCAAAAACCAACAATATAGATCGTGTTCTACTACAAATGAGCTAGTACCCAGAAAAAATGATCACTTCTAGTTACTTTTGCCAACTTTAGTCCCAATGGATGAAATTGACTTTTTCTTGTCCGGATCATGTTTCTTGCTCAGAAAACTATGAGGTCGCCCCGTGCGAACAACGGAGACATGAAACCACCAATGTTACAACTTACAACAAATAGTTTGATTTCATTTGTTCATAACATTCTGATATTCAAAATATCCGGGAAGCAGGGCATAAATAAGATGCTCTTCAGGTTAAAGTACTGCACCCATCATTAGCATCATATAGTTCCGTCAGATTAATAAACATGAAAAGAAACACAAGCATGTGGTCACATCATTATAAACTAAAAGCTCGAGCTCGAAATAAGTAATTGCAAGCATGTGCAGCCTCACTTTTGCAAATAATTTTCTAATCATGCCTTGCTTATATAGTTACAGTATGCACTTGCAATTAGGGCTCTTGGGGAACTATCCTGTAGCCTAGATGATTTTCAGGTTGACATATAACCTGATGAAGGAGTGACGCCTCACCTGCATACATGAAGCCATTAATAAACCAATGAATTGCGACTACGGAACCAAGAAAATCTAAGATTTATATCATACCTACATGACCCCAAATTGTAGACATTGGGGCGACAGTTTTTAGAGCCAATGGATCCATATAGCTACCAGATATTTCACACCTATTCAATTCAAAATCCCAGCAGATATGCATCGCATGTCGATGGGGCGTGGCATACAATCAAGCATCATGATAGCAAGGCATGGGGCCACAGTTTTCTTCAAAAATCACATAGTAGATGTAGAAATAGCTTCCAAATCCACACATAATATAGGCCTGCACATGTGAAAGGAAAAGTTACGGACTAATACTGAAATTTTATTCGACCAGTCCATCAAGCAGGTCGATTTCTGGAGATAAAGTCGTTGTCTCACAGGGAAATACCTAATAGCAGAGGTAGCCAAAGCCATGCCTTTAGAGGGACTATAACCCAGATCTGGCAAGAGGCATCTCGGAGCATACCTTCTTGGCCGGCGTGACATAGGGGCGATGGCTGAGCTTGGGCGCAGAAGAAAAGGGCAGCCGTTGGCAGGGTGTGGACGGCGATGACAGGACCACCTGTGCGTATAGGGTGGTGTGGTGAGCGACGGGGGAGGGGGATAAGCAGGATAGGAGAGAGCACCTGGCGGCGGAGGGTGCTCGAGCGCGTAGCAACACGGAGAGAACCTCACGGCGGAGGCTGCTCGAGCCCGTGGCGGTGGTGAGAGCCTCTGCAGGTGGAGGCCGAGCGAGCGCAGCGGAGAGAGAGCTCGAGCGTAGCTGCGGCGGTGTGGAGTGGCCTCGGTGGTGCGCAGGCTGAAGTAAATGAGGGAGATGCGGAGGGGGGTGCGTCCTCGCCGGCTGGAGAGCACGCAGCTGGCCGCAGAGAGTAGCGTCGGCGGCGGACAGAGAGCTCGAGCATGGCGGCGGCGGATGTAGAAATTGGGTGGGGGTTGAGGGATTTGGGGATTTAGGAGCGAAAGGGGAAAAAAGAGAGGGAGTTTTCAGTGGGCTGGGCTAGTTTTGGCGCTAACTTTTTATGTTCCCGCGTGCGCGACTGGTTGGCCCAATTAGCTGCCAACAGTCGGTCGGCATTAATCCCCGACCCATAGTCTAATGGAAGTCCTCGTATTCCCGACTGACGACCTGACATTAAATATATGAGCATTCTCGACTGACCCTCAGTTGCTACGCATATGCATTACCGACCAACAGTCTGATACAACTTTTCCCAACCAACTGTCTGATGGTATTAGAGATTTTTCCCAACAGTCGTTGGTAGGGAAATCTGGTGCGTGGTGTAGTGAGTCTTGATCAATTGCATTGCACCGCAAGCGACCTTCGTATCACTTTTCATGGCATTACATGGCAACTACGAGTAGTTATAGCTACTTAAGTATTGCAAAAAATAAAGGTAAACTTTTAGAGCCGGGGCGCCGGCCGAAACTGCGGTTGGTCGACTAGCTCACCCCGCGCGTTGCGCTAAAGCAGGAGGGATAGGTCATCCCGCGAGGGCCCGCACACCGCTTTCGTTTTCTTATCGTTTCGAGTACGGCTGCTGTTCACACACCACATCTCCTTCCTTTCTTCCCTCCCTGCCCACGCTGCTGCTTCTGCCTATCTGCTTTTTCTCAGACGCCATTGTTGTAGGGTTGCTGCACGGGGCGCCCTCCCCCATGAAGCGCGGCGCCGTGGAGTTGTTGTTGCTGCACGGGATGCCATCGCCATGGCCGCGCCCTTCGCCATGGCCGAATGCGACGGGGCCAAGCACCGGCGCTACTACGACAGGGGGGCCATGGCCTGCGAGCTCACAGGCCATGGCGGCCATGGCTTACGAGCTCGAGGCTGTTACAACTCCGGATTTTGCTTCCATATTTGTTTTTCTGGAACCAGTGTACTAATTTGTTACCATCATCTTTGTTTCTTGCTGGAACTAACCAAATTTTGCTGCCATGTCTTTTTGCTAGAATCATTTTGTACCACTTTTTTGCTACAACAGTTTTAGTTTTTTGCTACTACTGCACTGTGGTTTGTTACACCCTTTTTTATGAGGTTGTCGAGACCCTGCCACTATGTGGTTTGCTACAACCTTGTACACTTTTTTGCTACAACCTTGTGCATTTTTGCTACTACCGGAGAAGCCCATAGCTGGACCACAAGTTGTTTTTGCTACAACCGTTTTGTGGTTTGCTGCAACCAGTGTCAATTTTTGCTACCACCGGCTTCTTGATTTTTCTGGAACCAACGCTCGATTTTTCCCTTTTGCTACCACTAGCGTTTCGATTTGCTGGAACAAGCTTCAATTTTTGCTACCATCAGGTTTTCGGTTTGTTGGAACGGCATCGGTTTTTTCCAATTTTGCTACCAACGTTTTATTGGTTTTTGCTGGAACCGTCAAGAATTTTTGCTACGACCGGTGGAATTTTTTGCTGCGACCGGCAAATTAAGGACGAGGAACAACACGAGCTCTACGGTGGGTGTTGCGGCCGACGACTTGCAGCTTTGCGAGCCGCGGGGGGCCTCGCCGGAGATACACCGCGGGAGCCTTGTTGGAGATGCGCGGTGCTGCGAGCTGTGGGGATCTCGCCGGAGATACGCCACGGGGGCCCGAGGAAGAAGAAGCTGGGGCGAATTTTTTTTGCTCCAGATCCAACCGCCGCGCGGCTCGCATGGAGCGGCTATAGCTGGACTGGCCCACCGGCGCCTAGCGGTGCCCAAAAATAAAGGACGTCGATAACTGCCACACGTGTGGCAGGAAAGGAGACGCAACACACGTCTCTAATGCAAATAGATTGCCACGTCATCGCATGCATGCATGCGAGAATCTTTTCG